CGATTGCGATTACGATGATTATGACTATAATGATCACGATCATGACGATTATGATTACGATGATTACGACTATGGCAATTATGACTACGATGATTATGATTATGATTGCGATTGTGATGATTATGATTACGATGATCATGGAAATGATTGTGACTATAAATACGATTATGGTCATGGCCATGATGATTATGATTACGATTATGACTACGATTGTGATTGCGATTACGATGATTATGACTATAATGATCACGATCATGACGATTATGATTATGGTGATCATGATCATGATTACGATTATGAAGGTTATGATTGTGATGATTATCATTATGATGACTACGATTGTGATTCCGATTATGATTATGGTTGTGACTACCATGATTATGATGATGATTACGATTGCGATTATGACTACGACTATGATGATTCCGATTATGATGATTGTGATCATGATGGCTACGATTATGATGACTATAACCATGATGATCATGATGGTCGTGATTACGATTATGACAATCATGATGGTCATGATTATGACTGTGATGATTACGATTATGATTGCGATTACGATGATCACGACTATGGCTATTATTATGATCACGATGATGACCATGATGATGATGATCACGGTTATGATGATGATTACGGAAAACATGATTGATTACGACTGCGATGATTATAATCGTGATCATAATGATCATGATTATGATTACGATTCTGGTTATGATTATGATGATTACGACCATGACTACGACTATGATTATGATCATGATGATTATGATTATGATGATGATGACGACGATTACGATGATTACGATTATGATGGTTACGATTATGATTACGGTTATGATGATTATGACTGTGAAGGCTATGGTTATGGTCGTGATTATGGTCATTATGATGACTGATTACGATGATCATGATTATGATGATCGCGATTGCGACGATAATGGTCGCGATTACGATCATTGTTACCGCGATTATGATTACGATCATGGTGATTATGATCATGATGACTACGATCATGATGATTATGATGATCACGATCACGGTTATGGCGGTTATGATTATGGTTGTGATGATTATGATTATGATTACGATGACGATCATGGTGACGATGATGATTACGATTACAATTATGACAATGATTATGATGACTATGACCACGATAATCATGATTACGATGATTATGATTATGATAATTGTGGTTATAACTGCGATAGCGATGATTATGGTTATGGGAATTGTGATAATGATTACGATGATTATGAATACGATGATGATGATGATTATGATCATGATCATTATGACGACTGCGATGATTATGATTATGATGATGACGATTACGATGATAATGATTATGATGATTAATTGAGGTTGTGATGATCATGACTATGATTCTGATTATGATTATCATTACGACGATTACGACTATGACTATGACGATTGTGATTATGATTATGAAGAACATGATTATGATTATGATCACTATCATTATGATCATGATTCTGATGATTGTGATTATGATGATCACGATTACGATGATCGTGATTATGATAATGATAATTACGATTACGATGATTGATTATGATTGTGATTATGATTACGGTTATTACGACGACGATGATCATGATGATCACGATTACGATTATGATTGTGATGATTATGATGATTGTGATTACGATGATTATGGTTATGATGACTGTGATGGTTATGGTCATGACGATTATGAAAATGATTACGATTATTATGATGATGATGATTACGATTACGATCATGATCATGATGATTACAATTATGATTATGATCGCGATCATGATTGCGCTTATGACTATGATTATGATCAAGACTATGACGATTATGATTACGACGATTATGATTATGACGATTGTGAATATAATTGTGATGATCATGATTACGATCATGATGATCATGATAATGATTATGATGGTGATCATGACGATGATGATGATTGTGATTACGGTGATCATGACTATGATTATGATTGATTATGGTTATGATTATGACGGTTATGGTCATGACTGTGATTGTCATTGTGATCATGATGACTATGATTATAATGATTATGATCGTGATAACGATTACGAAGATTATAATTACGATGATTATGATTACGATGACTACGATTATAGTTACGACCATGATGATTATGACTATGATGATGATGATGACGACGGTTACGATTGCGATTATGATAATGACTATGATGATTAAGATTATGATGATTGTGATCAAGACGGTTACGATTATGATGACTATGATCACGATGATTGTGATCGTGATCACGATTGTGATAATTATGACGATCATGATCATGGCTATGATGATTGTGACTACGACTGCGATTACGATGATTATGATTATGGCTATGACCATTACGATTACGATTATGATGATTACGATCATGATGATCATGATCACGGTTGTGACGATTAATATTGCGAAAAATATGATTATGATTATGATCATGATCACGATAATGATGGTTACGAACAGGATGACTGTGATTACGATAATAATGACAATGATTATGATGACTGTAATGATCATGATTACGATTATGATCATGATCATGATGGTCACGATCATGATTATGATGATCATGATTATGATTATGATTTCGATTACGATTAAGATTGTGATTATGATCATGATTGCGATTGTGATGATTATGACCATGATCATGATCACGGCCATGATGATTACGATTATAACTACGACAATAATTGTGATTATGATGATTTGTGATCATGATGATTATGATTATGACTACGATTATGACGATTGTGATTATGATGACTGTGATTATGATTATGATTATGACTATGACGACTGCGATGATCATGATAACGATTATGACGGTTATGATGATTATGATTATGATGACCACGATTATGATTACGATGATCATGATTGTGATTATGATCATGACGATCATGATTATGATTACGATTACGATTATGATCATGATGGTTACGATGACTACGATTGTGGTGATTATGATTACGACCACGATCATGGTGATTATGATTATGAACATGATAATGACGGCTGCGATTATGATCACGATTATGATGGTTGTGATTATGACGACTATGGTTGTGATTATGATTATGGCGATGATTACGATCACGATTATGACTATGATTACGATTATGGTGACAATGATTGTAATGATTGTGATTACGATGATCATGGCCATGACGATTACGATGAACGTGACTACGATTATGATGATTGTAATGATCACGATTTCGACAATGATTACGATCATGATGATGATGACTACGGTTACGATTATCATTATGATCACGATGATTATGATCACGATGACCATGACTGCGATGACTAGGATTACAATGATTAGGGTAATGATGGTAATGATCGTGATTGCGATTACGATGATTACGATTATGATGATTAAAACTATGATCATTATGACGATCATGACTATGATGATGACGATTACGACGATTGTGACTATGATGACCATGATGATTACGATTGTGATTACGATTATGACGATTATGATTGTGGTTATGATTACAACTATTATTGTGGTGGTGATGATCATGATGATCACGATTACGATTATGATCATGATGGTTATGATCATAATGATTATGGCTACGATGGTTATGATTACGATGATTATGATGATGATGGTGATGACGATGATGATGATGATGATGATGGTGATGATGATTATGATTACGATGATCATGACTATGATCATGATCGATTATGGCTGATTATGACGATTATGATTATGACTATGATTGTGATTATGATCACGATGATTGTGATCATGACGATGATGGCGATTACGACGATCATGACTATGATTGACAATTATGATTACGATTATTATGATTACGATGATGACGACTATGATGATCATGATTATGATTGATTGTGATCACGATTACGATGATTATGATCACGACCATGATTGTGATTATGATCATCATGATTACGGTTATGATGACGATGGTGATGACGATTACGATGGTTATGATCATGATGGTCATGATTATGATGATTATGATGATCATGATTACGATTGTGATGATTATGATGATTATGACTGTAATGATTGCGATTATGATTATGAAAACTATGGCTATGATTATGATCACGATGATTATGACTGCGATTATGATGATTATGATTATGATGATTATGATTGTAATGATTATGACTATGATTATGATGATTATGATGATGATGGATGATGGATGATGATGACTATGATCGCGATTATGATTATGACGATTATGATGACGATTACGACGATTATGATTATGATGACAATGATTGTGACTACGATTATGATTATGATTATGGTGATCATGATTCTGATGATTATGATGATTGCGATTATGATTATGACGATTATCATTATGATTATGATGATGATGGATGATGGATGATGATGATGATTACGATGATCATGACTATGATTGTGATCATGATCGTGACGATTATGATTATGATGATGACGGCGATTACGATGATTACGATTATGATGATTATGATTATGATGATCATGATTATGATTATGATGATCATGGTTGATTACGGTTATGATTATGATTATGATGATGACGATTATGATCATGATGACCATGGTTGATTATGGTTGATTATGATTATGGTTATGACCATGATGATTATGATTACGATGGTTATGACTATGATTACGGTTATGATGATTATGATTGCGACGGCTATGGTTATGGTCATGATTATGATCATTATGATGATGATGATGATGATGATGATGATTACGATTACGATCATGATCATGATTATGATGACAATGGTCGCGATTATGATTATTATCATCATGATCATGATTACAATTATGGTGCTTATGATTATGATGATTATGATCATGCTGATCATGATTACGATTATGGCGGTTATGATTATGGTTGTGATGATTATGATTATGATTATGATTACGATGACGATCATGGTGATGATGATGATCACGATTACGATAATGATTATGATGACTATGACCATGATGATTATGATTACGATGATTATGATTATGATGATTATGATTATGATAATTGTGATCATAACTGCGATTGCGATGATTATGGTTATGGGAATTATGATTGTGATAATGATTACGATGATTATGAATACGATAATGATGATTATGATCATGATCATTATGATGATTGCGATGATTATGATTAATTGTGATTGCCATGATCATGATTATGATTCTGATTATGATTATCATTACGACGATAACGACTATGACTATGACGATTGTGATTACGATCATGATAATTATGATTATGAAAAACATGATTATGATTATGATTACGATCATTATGATTATGATGATTGTGAATATGATGATTACGATCATGATGATCATGATTATGATTATGATTAAGATTGTGATGATTGATTATGATTACGATGATTACGATTATGAAAATATGATTATGATTATGACTACGATGATTATGATTATAACCATGATGATTATAACTACGATCATTATGATGACTATGATTATGATGATGACGACTACGATGATTGTGATTATCATAATTATGATTGATTATGATTACGGTTATTATTATGACGATGACGATCATGATGATTACGATTACGATTATGATTATGATGATTATGACCATGGTGATTATGATTATGATGATTATGATTATGATGATCATGATTACGATGGTTATGATTACGATGATTGCGACGATTATGGCTGACGATTATGATAATGATTATGATTATTATGATGATGATGATTACGATTACGATTATGATTATGATGATTATGATCGCGATTGTGATTGTGCTTATGATCATGATTATGATTACGACTATGATGATTACGATTACGATGATTATGATTATGATGATTATGAATATGATTGTGATGAACATGATTACGATTATGATGATTATGATTATGATGATGATTATGATGATGGTGATGATGATGATGATTGTGATTACGATGATCATGATTATGACTGTGATTGATTATGGTTATGATTATGACGATTATGGTCATGACTATGATTGTGATTATGATCATGATGATTATGATTATGATGATGAAGATGGCGATTACGATGATTATGATTATGATGACTACGATTATGACGACTATGATTATGATGATTACGATCATGATGATTATGATTATGACGATTATGACTATGATTATGACGATTATGATTCTGATGATTACGATAATGACGATTATGAATATGATGGTTGTGATGATCACGATTATGATTATGATGATTATGATCATGATTATGATGATTGTGATTATGATGATTATGATGATGATTATGGTTATGATTGTGACTATGATCATGATTATGATTACGATTATGATGATTATGATCGCGATTGTGACTATGGTGATTATGATTATGATGAGGATTATGATGATTATGATTACGATGATTATGATTATGATGATTATGATTATGACTATGGTTATGATGATTATGATTATGATGATTATGACTATGATGATTACGATTATGATTATTATGATGATGATTACGATTACGATCATGATGATTATGATGATTACGATGATGATGGATGAGGGATGATGGATGATGGATGATGGATGATGATGATGATGATGATGATGATTGTCATTATTATTATTGTTATTGTTGCTATTATTACTACCACTGTTATTATTACTGTTATTATTATTATTGTTGTTATTATTATTATCATCATCATCATTATTATTATTATTATTATTATTATTATTATTATTATTATTA